CTTTCTTTCTTTCTTTCTTTCTTTCTTTCTTTCTTTCTTTCTTTCTTTCTTTCTTTCTTTCTTTCTTTCTTTCTTCCTGGAGGCAGGGTTTTTATGAGTCCTGGCTGTCCAGGAATTCACTCTGTAGGCCAGGCTGGCCTAGAAGATTTGTCTGCCTCTGCCTCCCAAATGCTTGGATCAAAGGTGTATACCACGGGGTTGTAGAGATGGTTCAATGGTTAAGAGCACTTTCTGCTCTTCCAGAGGCCGTGAACTCAATTCCCAGAAATCACATGGTGGCTCACAACCATCTATCCTGGGATCTGATGCTTTCTTCTGAATACAGTCAGAGCACTCATACACATAAAATAGATAAATAAATCTTTTTATTTTTAAAGTGAAAAAGAATAAAAAGGATGTGGTTTTTGTTGTTGTTTGTTTTGTTTTTTAATTTTAGTTTCTTGAGGTAGGATCTCATGTACTATGTCCTCAGGATGGCCTTAAACTCACAGCAATTTTCAATCTTCATGCCTCAGTCTCCCCAGTGTTTGGTGGAAAGAGCTTCTTATAACTGTGAAAGCAGTCCAAAGTTAGGCTGCTGTTGGGCATGGTGGCACACACATATAATTACAGCACTTGGGAGACCAAGGGAAGAAGATCTCAAGTTCAAGAATAGTCCAGATTACATAGTGCAACCCTTTCTCATTAACAGAGAGACAGGCACATAGACAGACAGATAGATAGACTAAAGCTCTTATCCATGTCAGTGTAGCATAGTAGTTCTTTATGAAACAAAGGATGAAATAAATAAGCTGTTCATCTCTGGGTCTCTCAATGTAGGCCGCAAATATTTACTACATAGATAAATGAGTCTAATAAATAATCCTTGTTATGTCTATAGCACCGATATAAGTGCGGACACAGAGAATTACATATTTGTTGAATGTGTAAATTAATTTATTTAATGCCTGGATTTTAGGGTGGAATTTTGAGGTAGGTTTTTTTTTTTTCTCTAATTGACTACCTCTTTTCATGCAATTTCAGGTTATAATTTTCTATGTGCTTTTGCTAACACAATCTTGAGAATATTTAAAACAAGAATATATGTTAAATGACATACAGAAAAATGTATTATAAATATAATATGAATAAAACTTTTGTGCCTGCTTCCTCTCTACCAATTCTGTTCTGTTTTACAGAGGGATCATATGAAAATTGCCCAGCAGTTTTTCCAGTTGGTAGGAGGATCAGCTAGTGAATGTGGTATGTTTATGATCTGTCCTTTTAAACACAAATCATAATTGGAGTTAGACGGTATTGGCTAGTAGAGTTGGCTGTCTAGGGATAGATGTTATGCTTCTCATTATGAAGCAAGAGACCAGAAACTGGAGAGGAAGGCTGAGGATGTAGCTCACTTTGTAGCATGCTTAACTAGCACTCGGAAGCCTTGGCTTCGAGCTCTAGAAACACATTTAGCAGACATGATAATTGGTTCCTATAATTCTAGCCCTCGGGAGATAGAAGCAGGATGATCAGAAGTTCAAGGAATCCTTGGCCTCATAGTAAAGACCAGCCTGGTATACAGGATACCCTTTTACAGTAATGCCACATATGCACAAATAAACACAACCATAAGAAAAAATATTAGAATTATCCCTTTTGAACATATCAGTGAAAGTGGAATAAGAGAGGGCTGGAGGGATGGCTCAGTGGTTAAGAATATTTGCTGCTCTTACAGAGGACTCAAGTTCAATTCCCAGCACCCACATTAGGTGGTGGTTCACACCCGCCTACAATCCCAGCTCCAGGGAATCCAATATTCCCTTCTGGATCCCATAGGCGCTTGCACTCGCATGTGCACATAATTAGAAATAAGTTGTTGTTGGTCTTTTTTTTTTTTAAAGATATGAGGCTAGAGAAATGGCTCATCAGTTAAGAGCATTATCAGCTCTTACAGAGGACCTAAGTTCAATTCCCAGTACCCACATGGCAGCTCACAATTGTTTGTAACTCCACTTGTAGGGAGCTGACATCTTCTGACCCCCATGGGGACCAAGTACACATATAACATACAGATATAGGTTTAGGCAAAACACTCACAGACTTAAAAAATAAATTAGTACAATTTTTACAAGAGTGATGTGAGAATAAATAATAAACAGGAATAAATTTACTTCTTAGTTCCTGAGAGTTGTAAATATAAATTAGATTTAATATGAAATATTCTTACAGAAACTTTAGCAACTCCATATGTATTAACCTTCTGACATGCTGCAAGTCCCCTCCACAGTCCCTCATGTGCATGTGCACACACGCGCATGTACACACACACACACACACACACACACACACACACACACACACACACTTTTTTATTGTTGTTTTCTTTTTTTAGACAGGGTCTTATTAGGTAGCCTGGCTACATCATGGCTGGCCTGAAACTCACTATGTAGACCATGTTGGCTTTGAACTTATGATCATCTTGCCTCTGCCTCCTAAGTGCTGGGATTACCAGCATGTACCACCACATCCAACAAAGCCTAAATTCAGAGCATATTTTGTTGGCTATAAATATAATCCCAAACAGTGACACACACCTGTAATCCCAGCACTCAGGAAGGCAGAGACAGGAAGAATCTCTGTGAATTTGAGGCCACCCTGGTCTACAGAGTAAGTCCAGAACCACCAAGGCTACACAGAGAAACCCTGTCTCAAGTAAATAAATAAATAAATAAATAAATAAATAAATAAATAAATAAATAAATAA